TATATATATATATATATATATATACGCGAAAAATAAACATATTTTGGGTGCAAGGTAACAAAAGGTAAAATATTCTCCTTCGGCTTCTACGTCTCGTGCCCTAAATTTGCCGCTCCTTCCCAAGCGTCGTTCCCTTCCACCCACTTGCGGAGGCGAACGCCGGAGAGACGACGACGACGGTAAGATCTTCTTCTTCTTCTTCTCTTCTTTCTGAATATAGCTTGCATCCGCGATTTGTTAACGCTGTCGAGAAAGGAGAACGGTCTGATCGGTGTTGGCCGCTTTGGTCAGTCTTTTTCCTGCTAAATTTGATGATGACCTGCCTCAATCTCGGGTAGTACTGGTGCTTTTCCTCCCTTGTATGCTGATCTTTAAGTGCCTTCTTTTTAGATTTGGTGTGTGGAATCCAGTAGCTTAATTGACACGAGAAATTTCTGATATCAGCGAGTAATCCCCTCTTTCTTTTATACACGTCAGGGATTTTCTCATGAAATTTGGTGTGTTTTGAAGTCCAAGAGGCGATAAGATCTGTCAGCGGTCAGTTGTTCGCAGCCATGTCGGTCACGGCCGGTGTTAGCGACACGGTGATCACCATCCGCGACAAGCTCCGGGGAAAGATCGGCCAGACCAAGGTCAAGAGGTACTGGCCCGGCAAAGCCCCGGAATGGGCAGACGAGGTGGAGGATGATGAAGACATCAGGGCCTCCAAGCTGGCCGCCCTCGAGAAGGCCTTCCCTACTCGGGATGATGCTGATGTACCTCAGAAAGATGATCGCAGGCTGAGGCGTCTGGCTGAGAGCCGAACTGAGAACAAGGAAGAGGTGAGGGCCGATCACCGGCGTATCCGGCAAGCTGAGATAGTATTGACCACCGAGGAAGAAAATAATAGGTTGGAGGGCTTGGAGTTGGAAGAGGAAGATGAGGACGCTATTGAGGAGAGGAGGCGCAGGATAAAAGAGAAATTGCTTCAGAGAGAACAGGAGGAGGCTGCTCTTCTCCCTGTAGAAGAGGAAGAAGAAGCAGAAGAGGAGGAGGAGGAATCTGAGTATGAGACAGACTCAGAGGAGGAACAAATGGGTATTGCCATGGTGAAGCCAGTTTTTATACCAAAGTCACAGCGAGATACTATTGCAGAGCGTGAGAGGCTTGAGGAGGAGGAACGGCGCCTTGAGGAGCTAGTGAAGAAGAGATTAGATGAGAGAAAAGTTGAGACTAGGCAAATCGTGGTAGAGGAGATAAGGAAGGATGAGGAGATCCAGAAGAATTTGGAGGCTGAGGCGAACATATCAGATGTGGACACAGATGATGATATGAATGAGGCTGAGGAATATGAAGCTTGGAAGACTAGGGAGATTGCAAGGATTAAGAGAGAAAGAGACGACAGGGATGCAAGGTTGAAGGAAAAGGAAGAGATTGAGAAGGTTAGGAATATGACAGAGGAGGAAAGGAGGGAATGGGAGCGGAAGAATCCAAAGCCACTCTCTGCACCGAAGCAGAAGTGGAGGTTTATGCAAAAGTACTATCACAAGGGTGCTTTCTTCCAGTCTAGTTCTGATGACCATGCAGCGACAGCGGGTACAGATGATATATTTAGGCGTGATTTCTCTGCACCAACTGGAGAAGATAGGATGGATAAGACCATATTGCCTAAGGTCATGCAAGTCAAGCACTTTGGACGTAGTGGAAGGACCAAATGGACTCATCTTGTCAATGAGGATACAACTGACTGGAATGCTCCGTGAGTATACCTTTAGCCTTGTAAATCAGCAATTTGTAGGCACACACCCATATATTGTGGTGATAGCAGCTAATGCTAGTTTTCATGTTTGTTATCATAAAGAAGAAATGACCTTGTCAAATTAAAATGTAAACTGAGAAAATTTAGGCCACAACCCGTGTTCTTTTTTATCGCAAGAGTTGCTGGTGAAACCAAGAACAAAATCATTTTTTACTGCTTTGTGACATTCTGTGAATTATCTAGTCATGATTTTAGGAAGTTAGAACTTAGAACTTTTGGTCGAACATAGATATCCATGCCCTTGAGATGTACTTGGATTTAATATCTTTTGTGATATTACAGGTGGAGTATGAATGGCCCTCTTCGATCAAAGTATAATGCAAAAATGGCAGGTATGAATGCACCAATTGAAAAACCAAAAGGAAGCAAGAAGTTGAAGGATTGGGAGATTAAGTAGCTTATTCTTCTTGGTTATAGTATTTGTCTGGTTGATGCAAAGAAGGGATTTCACCCATGCTTTGTCTTGTAATGGTCTTTACGATGCAAGTTTTAACATGAAGAAAACCTTCATATATTAGATTTTGTAGTATCAACTGCAGAATACGTTAAGATATACTTATTGATTTCTGAATTTCGCATGTTTCTCTTTGTCATTCCTTGGAATGAATATTGTTTGTCATATTCTACTGACTGTTGACTTTATGGATCTTTACAAGATGAACTTTGATTGCTTTTGGACAAGTCAGCATCAAGAAAGGATCAACAGTTGATTGATAGGGATGTGGCAAACAAAGGATCCAGACTGATTCAGTAAACAGGATTCCTTTAGCCACGAAATATATCGCTTTTGTGCTACAGAGTGATATGCCATAAGTTTGTATTTTTTTTCCTTTTAAATGATCTTTAAAGTTAAGATGTTGACGTTTACTAAGTCCAACTCATCTTCAGGCAGTTTGACCCAGCCAGTTCAAATTGTTATCTTTACTCTGTTTGATTGATTTTTGATATTTTCAGTTCTCTGGGTTTTTTTTAAATATATCACTATTTTAAGGCAGGTCTGATGTTTGTATCTTGACCCTGATTTTGATTGAATCAGTAGCAAGTTTCTCTTGCCTTTGTTCTTGGTCTGGGCTATGCTTCCCTTACTTATTATTGTTCTATTTATGGAAGTCATTGTTGGTTATTATATTATGCTTAGATGGCCTTAGTTTATCTTTACTGGTCTTTTTGTCTGTCATTTTAACTTGAGTTAATAAGATTTTCATGAAATGAGAACATTTGCCATCACTCTGATGATTTATCTTCTGGTATCAATAATTAAGTAATAATTATATCATCTTTATTTATTTATTTTTCCTTTTGTTTCTTATACTCATACTATATGTTGCAACGAAATTCATCATTTTTATTAAATAAAACCATTTGGAGATCTGACATGGACTTAAAAGGTGTTAGGTCTGCTTGAAATACATTTTCTCTCTCGGTACTTTTTGTAAGTAGTTTTTCTTGGAGGATATCTTATCTATCATGTAGTTTTTTCCCACTTTATATGATCTTAGTGTAATGGTAATAGAACTTTCTTATATGCTAACTGGTGGACCAATTGATGATTTCATATCTAGTAAGTTGTTTTTCTTTGAAATGTGCATCTTATTTTTTTTATTGTCTCAGTTCTTCTGGATCATAATATGATTATTGAGGACCATGAAATTTGTTACTATATTTACTTTTTTCAAGATGGGCTTTGGTACAACGGTTAGATTGTCCTTTTGCGACACGAGAGACCATGGTTCGACCTATAGAACTTGCCACTCATCTTTTCATAGTTATTGGTAGATAACAACTGTCAGGTACAGATGCACTATCTGAATTTGGATCAGTATTCGTGGAAAGCTGCATTTTTTTTATTTACTGATTTATGATAATAAGAGACTTTTGGGGGTGGCATATGTATTCCATTGTATATAAGCACTTTTGACTTGTTTTACCATAAATCTATTCAGATTTGTCTGTTCCAGGTGCCCATGAGCCATTCAAGTTCACAGTTCTATTTGCAGATAGTATTGTTGCATACCAGTAATTGTTTGTAAAACAACCAATCAAAAGTGAAGTGGCTGGACCTTTTTTCAAATTTCAGACCCATTTACATCTGTTTAAACTTTTATTATTCAGGATGTCACATATGATATTCACAAGAGGCTGATCATGCATGGGGGTGTACCTAAATCATTTATGTACTCGTGCTTCTTTTGCAGAAATTACTCAGCATTTTAGCTTCCTGTGAGGCAGCCAAGTTCAGAAACAGGTTGTCATATCAGGATTGTTGCTTGTGGTAATATTCCTGATCTGCATATTTGAAGCAAAAGTGTCTTCTATGGCAGTGGCATGATGCCTGTCTTGTAGCTTAACTGATGTTAATTCAACAGACCTAGTCAATTTCTCACTGCATGAATCAATATTCTTGGGTAAATTATTGACACAAATGCAGCATGAGTTGCTGGGCTTGTGCTTTCTCCATGTTGCATCCTAGCCATGGTCATTGGGAGAGATTGTAGTGGCATAAATTAATCTCTCTACTGAAGCTTAATGGCCAAAACTTGATTCTGTTTCACTTTCACTTGAGATAGTATATTATGAGTTATCTAATATTTTTTGGTTTTAATAATAGTCTCCCATTCGCAGGTGGAGAAGCCAAATAACCCCATCTACCTCCATAAAGAAAAGGTATGACGACTGAATTCTGGCTTACCTATGGGTTTGCTTGCGAATCATCTTTCCATTTTAGTCATGATTATCTTTCTAAATGTGAATTATATATGGTAGATAAGTCATCCCTTCCCCACCAAAAGAAAAGGAAAAAAGAAAACAGAAATTGAAATATATTGCTACACATTATACACCCCATATGTGTGCCTTATTTTCAACATCATATATGTGCCTTGCTGTAGCATTTTCTTGTCTCACTTTCTACTAGTCTTGATATGGCCAGGGGTAATACAGTAATAGGCCCTTTCAGTTCATTTTTCACTTTGGTGCTTCTTGTTCTATAAAATCATCTTTTCTCCACTGTTTGTTGTTCGCATATAACTATCCAGGATTCATATAATGGTGCAATATCAGTTTGGATAAACCATCAGACTATTGTATAATGGTTAAAGATTCATTCTCTTTAATCTGAAGTAATTAATGTCGACTAAAAAGTGAATAATTATTATACATCATTCTATGACGTTGCAATTGTGGGAATCTGATGCACTTTATACTAAATACTCTACTTACAAGTCACACACGATATAGTTACATTTGGTAGATAAAACAGGACAATTTAACCCAAAAAAGAAGTTACAGTTCAACCACCACACATTGTGATTGCTTATAGTCAATAAACAATAATGCAACTATTATTTTAATTGATTTAAGTACACAATAAGGCTTTATCTCCAGTACAACGGACTCGACCATCTTTGGGCATCAAATCATGTGACAAATCTTAGGGAAAAGCACGTGGAACAATATCTTTTAAATTTATACCCCCACATGCTTGAAAGAAAAATAGGAACATTTTTTTTCCGTATACACCAAATTCTAAATAACCATTTACGTATTTGAAAAGGGTTTGTTGATGGCATGGTCTGATAATGTGAGTCAATCACAATATGTATAATTTAAAAAAATAAAAAAATATTCTTGTTCTAATTAGAAAATTTTCTGTTCAATGATTTAAAAAAGATACATATAAACGAGTTTAAAGAATCTGAAACATTATGATCTGTCATCCACTGTGAAAGAACAAGTTCCTTGCTCCCTCACTTTTATTGTTTCTTCAAGCAAATAAATCCATATTCCTTATTCCTACACCCACCCTCAAGAAAAATTGACATATTATTGGGAAAAAGAAAGAAAACGGAGATATTATGCCGAATATAAATCTATATATTATGCAGTCGAGCCCCATTCGAACAAGAGAGAAGTGCGACTGCCACTTTAAGTCCTCCTGCAGTTGTACTGCCCTTCACATCCCCCACATAAATCGCGCTCTCCGTCTCTGTCCCCTCAAAATTATCGTTTCTTCCGCTCCCTAGAAGACTCAACCTGCTCCCGCTGAGGTAAAAATCGATTCTTTCGAATGTTTGCTTAGATTCTTTTGTGAAGATAAGCCCCCAGACTTTCCATCATTCATCCATGACTCACCATCTTTGTGAAGATAATCCCGCTGAGGTAAAAATCGATTCTTCTCCTATCCCGTTGGGAAGAGTTCTTCTTCCGCTCACGACAAGGTTTCTTCCTGCTTCTTCTGTGGTAAACATCGAATCCTTGTACGGTTTATTTCTATGTTTTGGGAAGATTGGTTCCGGAGAATCCCCGGTGCAATCATTCTTTTTTCGCTTTGAAAGAGTTGAGGGTGCGTTGCATCTGACTAGTTCTCCCCGTAAAGGCCAATCTCCTTTTGCCTGCATCGATGGTTGTGGTTTCTTTTTGCTCTTAGGATTTTTCTCCTTGGGCAGCGAAGAACGAGCTCTTCTGAGGAGGATTAGATTTGAAACGTTCTTTTAAAATTTTTCTTTGTGCTGCTGTTGCGGTCTTTGCTGTAAATTCTCTGGTGGGTCGCGAGTCTTGCGGGAATCTGGATGTTTTTTATTTCATACTGTGTAAGATAGAAGAAATAGAAAGTAACGCTTTTTGGGTTAATTTAACTTGTTTCAAAATTGAGACAGTTGGAATATGCTGTTTAAGGAGAAAATTTTAGCTGTGATGGATAAGCATCTTTTGACATCTATAAAGAGCAAAGTGAGGATCGAGTCCCATGAACGTAAGATGGGAAGCTCATATGTAACAAGAGAAAGACTTGGAACAAGTGTGTGAAACTCGGGAGTTATAATTTGAGCATGGTATAGAAGTTCAAGCCTAACTGTGGAATAACTGGAAGATAAAATTGTGTTCATTGGAGATCAGAAGCGATTACGCGCTTGCTAAGTGCTATCAAGAAAGGAAGAATAAGAGCAATTTAGGACTGATAATTTGGGAGGTGAAAGGTCCTAAACGTCCGAAAGTAGAGGCAGAGTTGTACCTTTACCTGTCAACATGTGATATGAATGCAATTAATTGTTTAATTATTCTTCTGATGAGTCTCATCTGCACCGTGCTTTGTTAAATTGGCTAATACACCTTGGAAAGTAAGCTTTCTTTCTTGGGTTTTTTATATCCATACAAGTGTCAGTTAAAAAACCTGCAAGATCAACTAGTGCATAAGGCTCCTATGCAAGTGTGTCTAAAGATTTTATTTTTATTTTTATTTACTGTATAGTATTTTTAAAAACGCTATATGACAAAAGGTGTCAAGGTCTCAAAATGCTTGAGGCGCTTAGACAAGTTGAGCGAAGCGAGGTGTTATAAAATATTAAAATATATAATATATATTTAAAATATATAAAAAAAATATATAATATAAAAAATAAAAATATATAAAATATATAATATGGTAACAGTAGTTATAATAGTGTGTAGTAGGGAAGGAGAAGAGGAGTCACCAACGATGGGAGGTGGGGAAGGAGAAGACGACTGTGACGAAGGAACCTTTAGACGGTGGTAGTAGCAGTGGAGGAAGTTGCGGACCTGTCCCTTGACGATCGAAGGCGCT